CTTGTTTCGTGGGGTTATTATAGCGTTATATAGTTGTCTTCCTTTCGGGTTGGTAAGTCTAGATCCCCAATGGGTGTGCTTGGCATTGTAGTCACCAGCTGCTATAAATCGGTCACCTAGTAGGTCGAAGAATGTTACAAATTCTGTTTCGGAAATGCAGAAGCGTGGTGGGCAGTATACTGCGGCTAGGTTTAGGTAGCCGCTCTGAAAATCAATATGAATTGCTGTTGCCTGTAGATAAGGTGTAGCAAATGAAGGCAATGGATAATGCCTAAAGCGATTCTTGATCAGAACGCCAGTACCTCCATGTGCCTTACCATCGGGATGATTTGTCGCATAGAAGTTATAGCCATCGAGGTGAAAATAGTTTTTATTTGTTAGGTGAGTCTCTGATATGAGCATGGCGTCAATGTCGTGTTGAGCGAGGAACTGTAAGAGCTCGCATTTGTGCTGCGAAATGCCATTTGCATTCCAGAAACATATATTTAGACAGGACATTTAAACAGATTTCTGTTTGATTAGGAGCTCCAGGAGGAGATTTTGGTTGCGCATAAGCTCCTGCATCGTTTGTTGTATTGCTACCATTGTGTTTGTTATAGTTACCAGCATTGATTCAATTCCACTAGGCAATTGGGATGGATTAGCAGGGGTATGTTGGGCAGAGATTTCTGGGATCTGATTTAATGCCTGATTCTGCATTATTCCAGCTGTGGTTGGTTGAAGTCTCCTGGAGTCGTAGTTGATGGTATATATGTTTAGTTTTGTCGGACGACCGGGTTTCGAGCTGCAGTTATTTGTTGGTTTAGGCGATTTTTCAATTCTTTATAGACAGGACAACCTCTATAGTTGGCAGTATGGTTTCCCCCACAGTTGCTACATTTTTTGGCAGATGGGTCCTCCTTATTTACGGGGCAGGCCTCAGTGAGATGAACATCACCACAGGCAACGCAGGCTGCCCGTAGAGTGCAATAGGTTTTCGTGTGTCCATATTCCTGGCAATTTGTGCATTGGACCGGTCCATTTCGTTTGTGTGGTTCCTCAACGGTGATCCTACGGTGCAGTAGGTATTGAAGCTTGTATATTGGGTGAACTTAATTTTTATTTATATGCATACTTTCAGGTGTCAGTTCTACTTTGAACATTGGCTGGGGAATTTTATTTCTATTTATTATGTTCATAGCCATTTTGACTTCGAAGCCCTTATCGTTAAGTCCATCTATTATCTCATTGATTGGGACTGTTGGTTCGATTCCTTTGATAACCACTTGTAATCCTTTTAAGTTGGTAGGTGTAGTAATTCATTTTTTTTCATTTTCGAGGTATTTCGCAACTGATCGATAGTTTTGTTCGTCATTGACTTGTATTTTTGTTTCATTTATATTACCCCTTTTTATGGACGTGACATAGAATGTTTTTGCGCCAATTGTATCAGTTATTTTTTTGACCAGTTCAGCACATCGGCCAAGCCGTTCTAAAAATCAATTTTTTTCGCGATAGATGGTTTTTATACCCGTACTGAAAGAGAGTTATGGGGTATATTTGTGGTGAAAGTGGATGTGTGCAACGAAGAAGGAAACGTTTCCGACCCCATAAAGTATATATATTCTTGATCAGCATCAATAGCCGAGTCGATATAGCCATGTCCGTCAGTCTGTCCGTCCGTCCATCTGTCCGTCTTGATGAGCGCCTAGATCTCAGAGACCATAAGAGCTAGAGCATATCACACTGCTACAAGTGTATTTAAAAATTTCGCCCCGCCCCTTTCCGCCCCCACAAAGGACGAAATTCTGTGGCAGGCGCAATTTTAAAGATACGATAAAACTGAATGCCTATATCTACCAGATTGCCGAATCTGAATCAGATCGGATCATAAGTATAGCCAGAATGAAGGAATTAATTTTCAGTGGCTTCCCCCGCCTCCTCCTGCAAGAGACCCGCTACTCATTCTCTTTCTCGCTCGCACAGTCTGCCTCGTTATGTACGCGAGTGCCCTCCAGCGGAGATGTAGAATCTAAATGGTACATGTAGAATATACATGTTATATGTATAATATACATTGTAGATGTAGATAACAGATGTAGCAAAAAAAAATTTTTTAATTCAACATTTTCTAAATTCTACATAAATTATAATTTCAAAAATATATATACTGACTGAGTAGGGGTATAAAAGTATAGTCGCGTCCCCAGAAGCGACTCACACGTTCTTTTTCGTTCTTACCAGAGCTCGCAAGAAGTGGACCCCTTTTGCAAGCAGTCATTCAAAAGCGGTTATTCGCGGACACGATTAAAAACAAAATCGAAAAGACCCTTCCGCTTCGTTTTTTCGCTCTTCGCTCTTTGCTCAATCAACGATAGTGTCTCTCTCTCTCCTTCGTTCACTCGAGACACTTGTCGTTGAGCCGAAAGTGTCTTTTGCGAATGTATGTGTTTGTGTGTGTTGCGTCCGTGCCTCAATTACGATGAGCCCTATATCTTTCTCCCTTCCTCTTTCAAGCTTTGGCTACGAGGAAATATAAAAACAACAACCTAACATCCAAAAGACTTTTCGTACTTGCACTCCGCTCGTTTGTCTCAGTGACTGATGCTCAGTTGCTGAGCGCCGAACGAAAGTCTCCCGCTCAGACTGTTTTCGTAGGAAAACAATTGTGCATCGTTCGCCGCTCAATATGAGACCCAAAATTCGAGAGCAACAAAAATACGTGTTATGTTCAGTGAGAGAGCACGTCTGCTTTATTTTTCTCAGTCTTTTCCGAGTGCAGACAGCACAAAAAAAGTTGGTTGAGCATATTTTTCGAGCTCTGGTTCTCACGTAGAAACATTCTTCTGGTAAATACAAACAACTGAATAAAAATTTAAACCAAATCTGCCCAGCCGTTCTCACGTGATGATGCACTATACATTTTTATCTCTCCATTTTTATATATATAGATCGATTTTAAAATTTCACATACATTCATCATAAGCTGACGTATCAATATACTTACTGAGTACGGGTATAAAAGTCGAGTCGCGTCCACAAAAGCGACACACAACGTTCCTTCTCGTTTATTGTATTATATAGTCTTCTAGGCTAATTTTTATTAACATGCATTTTGTATGTTATTATAAAGCCTTTTAAATTGATAGGAAATAAATCTAATCGCCCTTGTATACAATGGTTTCATCCTTAAATTTGTGCATCTGCTCATACCAAATGTCCTCAAAATTAGTTTCCACCTCATCGCAAAATGTGGGGAATGCAGGAGCATGCTTCAACTTCCGCAGGGGCAAAATCGTATCGTATATATATACAAGTCCACCAGTAGGTCCGGGCACTGAGCTACCTTGCACCCACATCACATTGTACTTTGTGTTCGTGCGCCAAATTCGCAGGCCTTTAAGAACACGCCAACGATTACCCATATGACCAGGCATCTTTGTACCAGGCCAGACACGTCCCTTTTCGCCACCACCGCCAATGTTACCGGGACGGCGATGTGTCTTGGTAACGCCATGTGAAGCAGGCATGCCCTTGTAGCCGTGTCGCTTGACCACACCTTGGAAGCCGTGGTCGACGCTGTAATGAAAAACAAATAGTTATTAAGCCATTAATTAATCTAAATCAAACCGAAATTTCGTTTAAATATTGTAGAATGATGTAATGGAAAAATACAGAAGAATTCAGAGATTCAAGTTTTGGGCAGATTTTATTTATACATGCATATAAATCTCTTTCAGCCGAAATCACACGAAGTCATCTCTCGGTTCTGATTTATAATATGTTTTAAAAACTTATTTGTATTTTACGATATTTTTAGTAAAATGTTCCACTCATTGTCGGCGTACAAAGCCTACCTAACTATAAAGTTTCTGGCCTATGTCTCTTTTAGCCTTATTAGGACCCAATGGTCATTTGCATTAAAATTCTTGGTATTTTCCCGGATAAACCTGTTAAACAAAAAATTTGTTTCAGGAAAAACAAATTTTATTTACATATTTACACGACATTTCACATTTCTGTTTCGTTATTTCCTACTATACTAGTAGTTGATGAAGATTTTTAAGCCAAGAATGATTATGCCCTCTGCACACTGAGCCTATCCCGAGGAAACGGTGGGAATTTTTGAAAGATGTGAAACACCGATTCACACTGAGACCAACCACATCCACCATCCATGAGAAACAGCTGATGCTCACAATTGCGTGCGGAGAAAATTTGTAAACATTGAAAATTAAAATGAATATAAATAACATTTCAATGATTGTGAATGTGATTCAGTAGCAAAACATATTCTTGCACAAGCTAATCATGTTGCTGGACATGGATGATGTTGATTATGAGGACAACTTTGACGAGGAGTAGATAATAGAATGAATATCTGTTTTGAAAACACTGAAGCCAAGAAGGTTGTGGTCATTTGTAACTGCTTCTACTAAATGCAACAAAAGATTAAAGTACAAATATATATGTTGTGTTTTTCAGAAGCGGTTCGGTACATACAATGATATACCAAAAGTCAAGCCTTGGCAAGTTTATCGAAGAGTCGCCTTTGCTAGAGGAAAAAGCCAAGGAAATTTGCGGAGTGAAGGTTCCAGTAATGCTGATTGGGGACTCGGCATTCAGGTTCTCAAAAAAGCTTGTGAAGCCATACCCATTTTCCACAGCTGCGTCTTTAGAACAGTGCACTTTTAATTACAACCTTTCCAAAGCTAGGCGAGTTCTGGAAAATGCGTTTGGACACTTAAAAGCCAGATTCCGCATAATTGTAAAAGGCCTGGATAGCCATCATAAAAACAACAGTGCCATTATATTGTGCTGTTGCATTTTGCAGAACATGCTAAACATGCTCAACAGCTCAATTAATGAAAGTTGGCAACTTCTTTTAAGTGAGCAGAGAGAATAACCCGATCGCAGCAATATTTCTGCTGATTATAATCATTCAGCAGAACAGATACGATCTGCAATTGCAACATATTGTGTAAATAGAATAAATTTAAATAATTAGTTTTAGCCATTTATTATAATTATTACTTAAATTTAAAAATAATACAAAATGTATTATGAAAACCTACTACTGCTGTTTATATTCTCTTAAAAATTGCATTAAATCCGTTTGAAATGTCATCTGGGTTCTCATAATGCTGCCATCCAGAGGGAGCCCCCCGCTTGGACCCACTTTATTTTTTTCCATCCTGAAAAGTATGAAAATAAAGTAGAATCAACAATTTATGGTTTACCAAATACAATAATATGTACCTGTATTTTTTGGTCAAATTTTCAAGCTTCGTTCGCACTTCCGTCCATCCAACATCGAGCCCACAACCCTCTTTCATGGTCTGATTCATTTCCATATAAACGTGCGAGTTCTTACGGACTCCCCGCAAATCGTCTATTTTTTCCTGCCACAGGTCAATGAGCAGGTTGGTTCTCAATTTCGGTGGTCCACATCAACCTGCCACCGGCTGTTTTCTTATGTGCTACAATATTGTTATATATGGGTATTCAAAAATGATATCTCTGAAACTTACCACTGCCATTTGATGCTCCTTCCATTTTTCTTTGATATCTTTGGATTTTTTCCGTTTTTTGTTAGATCTGGTGCTTTTTTTGTTGTTTTTATTTATATTTTCCTGTCTGTCATTGTTTACATTTTCGTAGTGAATTCCGATTTTTTGATGTGAATGTCAAATATTTATGGTTGCATTTGACAATTATCGAAAAAATACCGAACAGAAACGTGCGATTTAGGAAAATCCCAGAAATGGATGGTGGATGGTAGTCAGAGTGAAAAGGCTATTAGATTAGCTTAGTGCAATTTTGTTGATGAAGCACGATGCATTGCCAATACAATGATCCCAAAGATGATTGATTTTTTTGGCATGAAGTATGAATGTATGATTTGTGTTGAGCAGCGAGCTTAGGAAAACGAAAATTGAACGAGCACGAAGAAATAAGAACGAGAGCAAAGGAAACAACCAAATACAGTATTTGCGAGTTTTCCTGGCATGTGTGAGCATGTGTGCTGCTGACGAGTCATGGAAGCGTTCATGCATTTCGCGTTGTACATATATTATTGCTACTAATTTTTAATTTCATGAATTTACTTATTTTATATATACTTTTGAAATATATAAGTGACAGCATTCTTGTTTCTGAATTATGTTCTCAGCGAACTAATCCGTTCGAATGGTACAAGCACCAAGTGGTTAGTTCTTGGTTCTTCTTTCGCACTCATTCGCATGTTCCGTAATTTCAAGCCTGCGCTAAGCATCTCGTTCTCGCAAACATGAACATGAAGCTTGCTTGTTATGCTTGCAGATGGTATGTTTTGATATCGGTCAATGTAAGTGTACGAGTGTCTCGTTTTCCGTTTCAAATGGATTCGTGAAAGACTAGTAGATACCGCTTATATTAAACAAAAAATAATTTTTGGCCTTGTGGCAATTTTATACGCCTGTGGAAATTAGTGTTAGTTGATGGCAGAAGGAAGAAGATAAAAATTAGGAAATAAAAATCTATAAATGAAATTTTAACATAACTAAAATGTTTCTTCTTTATGAATTGTAATGTTTAATTCATTTTTTGTGTTAAATTAAAGCTTGAGCTCCAATTTTTATGTAGTTTTATCATTTTCTGTCCAGAAAAAAAAAATGTACAGAAAAATAACTTTTCAGAAATTAAAAACACCCCAGAAACCAAGTGGTTATAATTTCCGAACTTCCACTGTATTACTATTCAGAAAAGGTTCCTTGAAAATAAATGTTAAAAAAGGATAAACACCAAAGTATGTAGAACCTATTTTACAAAGAGCTAGGTGGTCTTCTCTTTGAGCGTGTATTTTTCCTATAGTTTTGTATATACATATGTCTATTTAGGGTAAATATCAATCTTCTAGGGGATATACCTAATAACGAGAAGGAACGTGTGAGTCGCTTCTGGGGACGCGACTCTACTTATACCCGTACTCAGTCAGCATATACATTTTTGAGCATTTAATTATTTAGAATTAAAAAAAAAAACATTTTACATTTTACATTTTTTTGCTATATCTGTTATCTACATCTACATATACTATGTAGATTCTACATCTAACATGTATATTATACATGTACCATTTAGATTCTACATCTCCTCCGCTAGGGGTTGCTCGCGCACTGAACGCGGCAGAGTGTGCGAGCGAGAAGGTAAATGAGTTGCGTTGTCGCTAGCGGGAAGGGGAGGGGAAGCAACTGAAAATTTCTTCATTCTGGCTATAATTATGATCCGATCTAGTTCAGATATGGCAATCTGGTAGATATGGGCATTCTCTACGATACTGCGTTTTTAGTTTTATCGTATCTTTAAAATTGTGCCTGCCACAGATTTTCGTCCTTTGGGGGGGCGGAAGGGGGCGGGGCGAAATTTTGAAATAAACTTGTAGCAGTGTGACATCACATGAGTGTGGAAACCAAATTTGGTTTCTCTAACTCTTATAGTCTCTGAGATGTAGGCGCTCATCGATACGGACAGACGGGCGGACGGACATTGATGCTGATCAAGAATATATATACTTTATGGGGTCAGAAACGTTTCCTTCTCTGCGTTGCACACATCCACTTTTACCACAAATACAATATACAACTTAACTCTTCTTTGAGTACGGGTATAAAAAGTTCTGACATAGAACTTCGAAGCGGAAAAAAAGTTCAGTTTCGTGGAGTAGTGTTATTTATGCTAAATTTTGTTTGATCAGAATGAAAATGAAATTTAATAGATATTTTCCACATATAGTTTTGGCTATGAATTTTACAAAACGAAAACCTTTGTTTGATTCACTGCCTTTTGGTAGATTTCTCTGTTAAATGGTCGGTAGGGGGAGGGTAGGGTTTTCTATTTAATAAGAATCCTAATATTACCAAATGAGCATGTTTTCAAGTCTGTATCTATATTTTTAGACCTTATGTAGAAACAACGAATTTGGGACCATTGTGCAATGTAAAAAACCGTTATCGCAAATTCAATTGTGGACGTCCTTCGTTGCAAGACGAATTTGGTGAAGGTTGTTTTAAATCATAGAGGCAGCTTTGGGCATTAGTATGACGTTGAAAAATTCGATTTCCATTATCACCATGTGGTATAATAGGTGTTTCGCGATGGATCCTACACAATTAAAAAATCGGCTTAACGGTGGCTCGTGTCGATTGGTGTAAGAAAATTACACAAAAATACGATCGATTTCAAAGGTGTGTATAAAATCTACACAGACGACTAATCATGGATATATAAACATGAGCCCTAGAAAAAGAGTAATCGACAGTATGGATGTTTTAGAGCGAGCCAAATGCCATACAAGTTGTTGCAACGAAATCAATTGATCGGCTGTTTGGTCGGAAACTGGTCAACAACAACTGTTCAAATGGCCGAAAGTTTTAGGAGAATCTAGGAAAACCAACCTCCCACTTTTACTTTAATATCTAGGGGAGAGGTACCGTTTGTGGACAGTGGCTTAGTTGTCACCACCCCCTCAAAACCCCGAAAAGCAAGCGGATACTACGGATCTGAGTATTGGGAGTCATATTATCTAACAATACGCTGCTTTCGTGCTAATAATGAAACAAATAGCTACTTTGGTGTAAGAGCTCTGAGCATAATACAACAAATTTGGAGGATAAACTTAAAACCAAATTTTATTATTTTTGTAGCGCGAAAAAATTGGTGTAAATTTTGTTCAAAAATGTTCTGATGCTTTTGATTTATTTTCGTTTTTAACCCAGATATTTTTTTTTGTTCTTTTGGAAAAGAAGAGAAATACTTCATATCCATCGCATCGCTTTAATATATCGGTCATCATACGCCCACCTTACCAATAACAATAAATTGTAAAACATTACCTATTGAAACGCTCAAATTTTTCTTAATTATAACTGAGTTTCAACGGCTATTAAAAACTCTTAATAGATATACAGGCCCGGTTATGTATTTAATGCGTATATTGGGTTAAGAATTAGGTTATGGTAATCTAGTATATTTAGTGTAGTATAATCTTCAACGAGCTGCCTATCACTTTTGGAAGATATTGGTGCTCTGCAGTCGGCTACACCAAAGAAGCCTTCGAATCGTGTTAGAAATCCGATGGAAAGCTCCGGCTTACTCCTCCTGAACGCATTGTTTCTTTGAAGTAAAAAGCAGCTAAGATGCTAAAGTACAACAGGCATCTGTTTCGGCCCAGAAAAAGCGTAAGCGGAAGGCAACACAAGCCAAACCATCCACTAAGTCCACCATTTAAACCATAAACTAGGCGCACACTCTGTGTCATCTGTCTGCACTGAATGAATGAATGTAGTCGTCCGGTGCAGATAAAAATTTTAAATATCTACTTATGCAAGTATCCAAGTATAATAACAAGTATATTTAATAGACAGCCAAAATTTGACCAAGCAATTTTTTGTTTTTCTTTTTTAAACTCATTTGCGATCTATCGACTTTTTTATTTAATTTTTTGTTTTTGTTTTTGAGTAAAGGTTCGAAAATTAAATAAATTCTTTATAATTCACGGTCTATCGTTTTTGTTTTAAGGAGTATGACTCCCAAATTAAACATACATATACCCAAAGCTTGCCTAACTTGGCTAAAAGCGAAAAGTTTGACCATGATGCGCGAGGGTCAAACATTAAACGATTTCAACAATTTTTTTGCCTTCGTTTTAGAATCCCTTAACACAACTTTATATCACCGGACCGACTTAAGTTTCAAAAATGTTGGACTTTTGGCCCACTCTAATGTCCATGTCTACGCTCTTCAAAGCATGTTATCTCCACGGTGGTCGCCGGCGGTTGCACTGGAGACGTCGCCATCTGCTGCTGCTGATTGCACTACCCGACACGATTTTTCCTCAAGGAACAAAACCAACTTTTTCTTAAAGATTTGGGGCTTAGAAATGGTTTGATGATATTTTTTTTTATACCCGTACTCAAAAAAGAGTTAAGGGGTATATTAGATTTGTGGTAAAAGTGGATGTGTGTAACGCAGAGAAGGAAACGTTTCCGACCCCATAAAGTATATATATTCTTGATCAGCATCAATAGCCGAGTCGATAGAGCCATGTCTGTCTGTCCGTCTGTCCGGCTGTCTGTCTCGATGAGCCCCTAGATCTCAGAGACTATATGAGCTAGGGCAACCAGTGTGATATCACACTGCTATTTCAAAATTTCGCCCCGCCCCCTTTCGTCCCACAAAGGACGAAAATCTGTGGCAGGCACAATTTTTAAGATACGATAAAACTAAAAACTTAGTATCGTAGAGAATATCCATATCTACCAGACTGCCGAATCTGAATCAGATCGGATCATAATTATAGCCAGAATGAAGAAATTAATTTTCAGATGCTTCCCCTGCCCCCTCCGGAAACAACAACGCAACTCATTTTCCTTCTCGCTCGCACACTCTGCCGCGTTCAGTGCACGAGCAACCCCTAGCGGAGGAGATGTAGAATCTAAATGGAACATGTACAATCTACATGTTAGATGTAGAATATACATTGTAGATGTAGATAACAGATGTAGCAAAAAAATGTTATATGTACAATTTTTTTTTTTTTAATTCTAAATAATTATATGCTCAAAAATGTATATGCTGACTGAGTACGGGTATA